TCCAACGATGTGGAAGTCGCAGAATACCTGTAGCACCGTCTGTTTTGTTGATAGTCTGAATGGACCGGTCTACTGCCGCAAGAATCTCAGAAACAGTTTGGAAGCGAGTGCCACGAAGTGGTTCCTTCATCTTAGGAATTAAGTCATAGTCACAAGGGCTTAGATCTGGGGAGTATGGTGGATGGTAAAGCACTTCCCAGCCCCATCGCTTGAACAAATCAGTCACAGCTTGCGCTGCATGCGGCCGAGCATTGTCATGCAAAATGAGAGCAGCGGTCTGCAGAAAGTGTCGCCGTTTTTTTCTCAGAGCTGGTCGGAGATTGTTCTCCAAAAATGAGCAGTAATACTGCGCAGTGGCGGTCTGCTGTGGGAGAACGGTATGCGTTAGGATGACACCATCACAGTCGTACACGAGAATCACCATAAATTTCACATTGCTGGGGTTCTGACGAAATTTCGAACTTCATGGTGACCTGTGATGACGCCATTCGTTTGATTGGCGTTTCAGTTCTGGCTGGTACGATCGGGCCCAAGTCTCATCCAGCGTAATGATACGGCGTAAAAAAGCATCTCCTTCGTGCTCAAAGCGCTTCAGGTGGGTTCGGGCAGCATCGTATTGTAGCCATTTCTACATTTCCGTCAATTGATGTGGAACCCATCGTGAAGCAATTTTTCTCATGGACAGGCGTTCCTTCAGAATGTGCAGCACAGTCGTATGCGCTAATCCTTTTTGTCCGGCCAGCTGACGAATCGTTTGGCGGCAATCACTGTCCATTAGTGCGGCAACAGCTTGCACGTCTGCATCGCTGACACTCGGACGACCTGGTCGCAGCATGTCTGCCACGTTTTGGCGTCCTTCATTGAATGCTTTCACCCATCTTGCTACGGTTCTGTAAGGCAATGCAAATTCCCCGCAAGCCTCTTGAAGCCCTTGATGACACTGTCGTGCTGTACGACCTCTGGCACATTCAATTTTTATCCAACATCGTTGTTCTTGTTTTGAAAACATCCTGACAACACTTACTTTAGACCACGAGGATACAAGGATTCGTTCTTCGCGTCACTCCGCATGCGCGTGACGTAGGCAGGACGAGTCTTTTTACTGAGAGGTAAGGTAGGTATGTAATTCACGTGTGGTATACTCGATATTCTTTGGTTTTGTTGCGTAACGTTTTTTCAGCTGTGTTGCCACTATTAAAGTTCCAACCCTCGTATTTTTCCTTATTTCTATGTTGTAAAAAGTACACATTCCTAAACTGTCAATTTTGTCTCTGGAGTTTCTAATTCATCAAGATTCTAGAATCAAGAAAATATACATACGAATGTTCAGTAGGCAAACTAGGTTAGGTACTTTCCAGCGTTCGAGTTCAACGACTTAGAGCAATTCGACGTATAGAAACTTGATATATAGAAGGAAGAGAAACGACAAACAGAGTAGAATATAGTTGCTTTTTTTCCGGAAGTTTATGCGTCACTGCCATCATCATTAACGTCACGAAAGAACAAATCTTATAGTATAATAACGTTGCATACATGTAGACAGAATACCCAAAACATAACGTGGTAAAGATTAAAAAAACATTGTGCAGTGTTATAAGGCAGTGGTGTTCAAATGTTTTGAGAGTGAGACATTACTTGGGACAGTGAGGTAACTAATTATTCTTAAGATAATCAATAATCTAATTGTAATTTCCCACAAATTAGTGCTGTGTAGTATTGAAAATCTGAAAGCTGTTAATTATTTTTTTTTCATACTAAGCGTGCATTTCTTTCAAAATATATACAATAAACTGAAAATTAACTCTGTAGTTAACAAATATTTAGTTAAAAAATCAACTAACATCAGCGATTTATGAATTAAAACGTAGCGTTTAGCACATAGGAACTTGAACAAAACTGAATTAAAAAAATAAAAAAATAAAATAAAAAAAACTACAAAAGGAAAATATTTAATGAGAACTATAAGTCTGCTCCCTCTTTACAAGTAGTGATATTTCTGGATCTGTTTTGCTCAATTTAAGCCTTAAAGGTTACTAATTTATTTCGATACTTGCTATTGCTAATTTGCTAATTTATTCCAATATTTAGATTGGGAAACTGGAAACATCTCATCTCGCACATGTAAGATTAGGCAAGCGCTAATAATATCTTCAGAGGTGCATCACACAGTTCTGTATATTTATTTCGAAATTTTAGCACACATTTGTTCAATTCAAGCCCTTTAGAAACAAATGTTGACTCTTTATTGGACAGTAACTCAATCCTTTTCTTAAATTGATAAAATTTGGATAGCACTGCTATATTTAGGATCTGCTATATCTTTAATTACCGATTGAACAATTTGTAGGTCGTTTTCTATAATAAAACTTCCTGAAGTAGGAAATGCTATAAATTAATCCTCTTGCAGTAGAAACACCAAAAATAAATTTTATTTATAAAGGCTTTACGTTTATTATTAGCTGCAAATATATTTAATTATTCTCCTTCTTCTTGAAGAATTAAATTCAACTCGTTCAATTTGAGACAAGAAATTACTTAAGCTAACCCGCATCAGTTTAAATTTGTTTCTCTAGTTATCATTGTCATTTTAAAACACAAATATTTCTTGATACTTCCTAAAGTTGAAATAGTCTCGTCAGGACTCTACCCCTCGAGTGTTAAGACACCTGTTCATGTAAAAGTAACTACTGAGTTCACTGTCCGTTTTTTCGCATATTTGTGAAAATATCTAATTACACAGTGAACCCGTGTTACATTAGGAAAGAGTTCTTTTAGAGTTAAAAGTCCGTTTTGTTTGTCTGTCACGGCACGAGCTTCACAACTGCATACTCCCACACAGTTTTCACTAGTAATATTGTTTTTCCGCGATGTAAAAATTTACCAGTTGAAAGATTTCTTATCAACTTTGTGTTTTCTAGTAACTTGCAAAAGTTTTTAACAACTTCAATCTTGCATTCATATTTTGAAAACAAATTAGAGTGTAGCATTTTAGCCACCGGTGGATTCATCCAACTAAAGCCTGAAGACTTCACCTTATTTAATTCTGGTTATGTGTTCTTTTCCACATTATTTACCATTACGCATAATTTGAGACAGGTTCTTATATCAGACAGTAGTGCTTGATAGATCTGTTACTTTTCCTTTTCTTCAAACATAATGCCGACTATAACCTGAGTTGCTAGAAAAATTAACTCTTCAGCAATTCTGTAAGGACTGCCAGTTTCAGTCATACGATAGCTCACTCTGTAAGAAGCCTCTTATACTTTTTTGTTAGTATCGGTAAATGTAGACATAAAAGTTTGCTTACATTTCAAATGCGTATTTTCCCTGAAAAAAGTTTACTCTCTGTCTACCGGCAGAACTGATCTCGCCATTATATCTAATATTAGTTGGTGGCGGTTGCTATAGCAATAAGGCTAGTATATTTCAATAGGGATGGGTCAAGTGAATGTTTTATTGTTATTTTTTTGCCGAATTTTGGTAGCGGGAAAGAGAAAGTTTAGAGAAAGTTAGTTTGTCATTAAGTTCCACAAGATAACAAACTGTAGTAATAAAACCTAAGTAATTCTTCAAGCCCACCCTTACGAAAAATGGATTAAAACTCATTTCTTTAGGAAAAAATAGCTACTCAATGTCTGCGGAGAGCTGTTCTTGTGATACACAGACAGTACACGACTTCAAGGAATCTCTGGATTAAAGTAGATTTTAGAACAACGAATGCAAAGAGATAGAGCCTATCTCTTCGAACTTCTAAAATAGTCTGTCTAGAATTTAATAAAATTTTGCATTTTAAACACCAAAGGTTTCTTTAAAAATGTCAATAAAAATTGTCAATGTTGTATTTGTATTCAATTAAATCTATTTACATTTTTTTTCATTTACCTGGCGACCTTAATGTAGGGGTCGCAACCCCTATATTGAATACCACTGGTATAGGGTGTATCAAAGATGTATCGTGGCTTGGTTCCCCAGAGAAGTTCTACTAGGTTTTCTCCTTCGGTGGAATCAGGCGAAAGTAATTTTAGCTTTTATTCCTGCGTTTGATTTTATTCCAGTTGCCAAATACCTTTAATTATCCACATGACTAGCTTCTTGCTAACTTTTATTTTGTGTGCATCTGCAATCAGGTAGTGCTTCAAAATTTTAGCTGCGTTGCATGCACTTGAAATTTTTATATGTTTAAGCATCCATAGTGTCGATATCTATCTTAGGCTGTTTAAGTAGTTTCTGCAATATTTAAAATATGAAGGAAGGTCAGTTTTCTCCATGTTAGCTAAATGAGCATGAGAGTTAATAGCGCTATTTAAAGGTATATTTTCTATAATTTTTAGGTTATTTGCCAAAACATTGTGAATTATATCAGTGTAAGATTAATATTTTCGTCTTCATAAAAGTATTGTTTCCTTTAGGCAGAGAACCTTCGCGTACTTTGCCATAACTCAATGCAATTTTATCATTATTATTTAAGTGATTATTAAATTTACTCTAATAAAGTGCAGTACTTTCGAAATGTGTTAAAATGTGCCTTAAAATAAAAATACTACTAAAACTACTAAATTTAATTAATTACTAATTACTAATATTACTAAAATTACTTAATAAAGTAATTCTTAAATGATGGCAGGTAAATTCATTCTTAACGATAAAAACTATGTTATTTATACAATTACTTAAAGTTAATGGATATGTGGGAAAATATATTTCTTGAATGTATACTTGTGGGAAAATCTATCATTTGTTATTTTTAATTTTTTTAGTAAATAGTAATTAATTGATTCTAGGATTCTGCATCTTTATTTTCACAATTTAAAATACAGCTGTTTGGTGTTTTGAAAATCGAACTAAAAATGGACTAAATATGGGAACTAAAAACAAGAAAAAAATTTATTTTCTTCGACCATGAAGTCAATCCTAAAACTATTTAGGATTTTCAGAGAAAATATAGACGAGAAATACTAGTACAAGCAGTAACGTATATTGAAGATGAAATATGTCTGTTATCAAAATTATTTGATGATCACAGGATGCCAGCAGCATGAAAAGCGTAAACATTTACAAGCTTCATAAATATTAATAAGAAAAGGAAATGTTACACTGTGAAGCACAAACTTTATTTAGTATCACAAACAAAATACAATAGAGCTTAGAGTCATTTAAAATTTAATGTCACACATCTTTTAAAATTGCATTTCAATTTAGTGAAGTTAATTCCTCTTTGGCAAAACATCAAAAACCATTTCACAATAAATTATTCAAAGTGTTCCGAATTCACGTCTTGTAGTAATCGTTTTAAGTTTTCTCTATAGTTGTGAGATTTATGTTCTCCATTTGCGTGACAGATGTCGTAAATCTATACTTATTCCCAGTCGCATTGTTGCCATGGCGACTCATATAAGAACTTCGACAGCAGTAGCAGCACAAAAAGTTTTTAAACTCCTTCCGGAACTTTCCTGAAAGTAAAGATACATAAGCGTTATATTGTGCTCATAGTGTATACATTATTTGCTTTCAGGAACAGTTCTAAAAACATGATTGTTGATAAATAAAGAGTGAAAGTGCTCAGAAATATAAAATCTCAATCACTATAACAAACTGATATAACAGTGAAATACCACTTATTCTTTTGACACTGTCTATGAAGTTTCTTAAATAAAATTTAATATATATATATATATGTATATGTCATCGAAATTCGTCATAAAGAAAATTTAGTAAAGTAATATGTTCATGGATTCATATTTATTCTAATTGATCTACTAAAGAAGGAGGCATATTTTTATTGGATTAGTGTTCTTTTAATTGCCCTGCTTGCATGAATCACAGCTTTTGCGTGATTTTATCGCTTAGTATCATCTTAAAATTTTAAGATTTTTATTCTGTTTGTAAAGCTTGCATGTATGTGAAGTAGAAAATAAGCAAACATAGTTGAGCAGCAATCAACACTAGTTAATTACACGCAAATACGCACACAAATAATTCACACATATACCAATACTACACACGCGAGTAACTACCCGAATACTACAGAATAACCATACGAATAATTCACTTGTTACACATCACATTTCTGAAGATATTTTAAGCTGGATGCAATTCTCGCATGCATTTTTCACATGTAATGGAAGAGAATACAATTTTGCTTAAAAAGTCTTCAGACACTACTTGATGGAATATCTAAACACACTTTTATTGGCCGGTATTAATCAGGAAAGGTCCAAAGTCACGTTTTACAGTCCTCGAAGATCTACTATGAACTCGCTAGAACAATCAGCGACACAGCTTTCAGGTTATTAGGCTATAACGCTGAAGACAGCTTCACTGCAAAGCACCAGAGTACAGCTCCCGATTCTGCTCGGTCGTTCTCGGAACTCCACGTACTCTCTCGAGACTCTCCACGCTACAACTCGCGATGCACTCGATGATACACAAGAGTATAGCTCTCGACTCAGAACAGTCTAAGACAAAACTCGACGATGCACTAATTCGGGATACACTAAAAGACTTACTTGATGCACTCGACAACCAACTCGGCGCTAGATACTCGCTTAATGACTGACTATCAGCTCGTGGACGAGGCACACTCTAACTGACTGCGGACCAGCGAGGTTTATATAGCTTTCGGCTTGTGTTCGAGAACATTCTGGGCAAAACCGGTAAGAATTCGTTCCAGAAGGTTCTCCATCCATCCATGGTATATCGCCAATTATGTCGCCAAATGGGCGATTCCTCGCCAAAAGTGGCAACCCTGCCTTCCCTTGCCATTTTATGGCAACCCTAAAACTGCTTTGTGGGGAAGCCATCTTACCGCGCCTGTACATTTCGTAACAATATTTTACCATCTTTGTGGTTGCTTCGCTCACAGAATTTCTGGTCTTTATCAGCAAAAAACTTATCCAAATACGATTTGAGATCGTACTTATTACTAAAATGTTTACCAATATTTAAAAATATTATTAAAAATACACGTACATACAGTTTATTTAAAAATACACGACCCTTTTATCATCCCATTTAACTGTCAGCATGGTGTTTTTTTTAAAGCAGTTTAGTTTCGATATGCTATGTGTTGATTCATCATGCTTCTACCATGATCGTTTTCGATTAATACTATTATAGACGATTTAATTTCACCACTAATGAAAATTCGTTTCCAAAAAGCGTCGATTGCAGTATGTTTGTAATGCGTATCGCAAATGTTGATTCTTTGTTTTACCGAATTGCGGAACCCAGATATCGAGGTTCTTAACGAGTCCAAGACATCTTATGTGATTTTCAATTGTTGCTTGTGATAAATTTACCTATCTACAATCTCTCTCAGAATTACATGACGATTCGATTCAATTATGGTTTTAATTATGTCATTGTCAACTACAGAATTTTGGCAAGAACGCTGGCCACCTTTAAGTAAAACATTTTCAGAAGTAATTCTTTTAACCAGTTCTGAAAAATGGTGTCTATAAATATAATAGTGTCTATAACCATAAATATAATATCTCTCTGTGAGCCTCAGCCGCTTTCTTGCCTTTATGAATAAAAAGGTAGAATATGTCGAAAATGTGTATTTTTGCACCCCATGTTAAAACTGACCGTAAACTAATAGTTTTAAACAGAAATACACGGAATTTATTTCTGTTGCATCCTAAAAGTGTCAGCTGCCAAATCTCAACAGAAAAATAATTATAAGATTGACAGAGGAATCACAAAATGAACATAACTCTATCTATTTTTGCAAACAGAAATCACTTTCTTGCCGATTAAATATTTTTTTAAAATTTTGTTACATTTCTTTCTTTTTTTCTAAAATATAAATTCATGTGCAGATGATTTCATTTAAAATAATTTGAAAGATTTGTGGTATTATTTACCATAAATATTATTACCATATTTATAGCATTTATGGTATTTATCAATAATAGCTAGTAGTTCGAAAAGAGCGACCAATGGACTTTGAATGCTGCAGTTTCTACGCACACTATCACATTGCATGAATGAGTAAATTGACATTGAATTATTCAAAAAAAAGTCTCTCATCCGAGAACGGAGAATTCGCGTTGTTGGCTGGTTTAAAGAGATTCTTCCGTACCTCCAAGAGGTATATAATTTGCAAAATTTTGAAGAATATGCTTCTAGTTAACTCCGGCGTTTTCTATAATAAAATGAAAAGAAAAAGCAAAATGGCGAAAACAATCAAAGCAAGTGCTGCATATAGGAATTGAAAATGAAGTCAGAAATTATACGTTTAGAGATTAGTGACAAACATGTATTAGAATTAAAACCCTGATTATACTTGCTACTTTAAAATAGGCGCTTCAAGGTCTCTCCGATCCTCTCCATTTGCGATCGTAACACGTGTCTTCAGCACCATATAACACTTATTTTTTTTACTTCACTGAAACTGTATTTCAATTCAACAATTATTCGTGTGCTTTTCGTGTTGAAATGAACGAGGAAAACAATTAAGGGACTAGACCGTCTGTCGCAGCTGTTATTACCATGGTTACGAGGCAAGCTGGAAGGGTAAAAGTGTCTAATATGAAAGAATGAACTATAATCTGGAGAGGACTTTACGGATATGATAAACGTCAAGAAAATCTTATTTAACAGCAAAGAGTTTTTTTTTTTTTTTTTTTTTTTTTTTTTGGTATGATGTTGGCAGAAATTAAACTGAAGTTATAGCTTTGCAGTCCACCAATTCTGGTTGATAGATGCTAGCTGTTTTAAAGCACATGATTTATGTTCCTTGACACAAAATCTGAAAATTCGTTCTTTTAGTCCAAATATACATATATATAAAACTACACTGACCAAGAATGCCATCTTTTGCATACAATACTGTATTTCTGAAGAATATTTTGATATTTTATTCTAAACTAAATAACAATCATGTTTAATTGAAATTTATGTCTTATTTCAAATTGAGATTTTTTATACCTAATTTTATTTTTTGCAACAGATGAATTCATTCTTTTCATCACACCATTTCAGTGCCTGACAAATAACAGAAATTTACGGTTTAAGCGGAGACGGGTAATAGAGTTGTCACTCTATTACTAAAATGAATTTGAATAATTTCAGGAATTACTTTAATAGAAAACAGAAACAAGAAGCCATCAACTGCCAGAATGAAATCTATGGAGTGGTTTTAAGATGTACACATTTAGCAATTTATAAAAATAGTAAAAGACTTTCGGAATTAAAAAGAAAGAGAGAGAAAGATATGCTTATATATAACAAGTCTCTTTGAAAATAAAACGGAAAGAACGGTAGTTCCACCATTTATGTTTCAAACAATAACTTTTCACTTTCGCTGAAATCTAGGAGTATATTTTTATGCTGATACATTTTTCATTCCTCTTCTTATCTTATTTCACAAATTTAAGATACCAGAGAAGTAAATTTATCTAGCCTTGTTTTGGGTTTCTCTATCAGTAATCCATCATACCTCCACTGCAAACTTTTGACACATTTGCGACAAAAGCATTAACTACTGACAGGTGGAGAAAATAAGAAATATACTATTCTTACCATTCATGAAATTGTATATGATAGGATTGATGGAGCTGTTCGCGTAACACAGCCAGTGTGATATGAGAGAAACGACGGTTGTCGCTGGCGTCTGGGGCAGTCCCACGGTGTACCTAGTCAAGAAATACAAAGAATGCTTAGAAACAGATTTAAATGTACATATGATGTCCAACAGTAAAAAAAATCTGAAATATATTAATTACCGTATTTATCTCTATGCAAGCTGACTTCAAAGAGGAACAAAATTTTGATTTTTTATGTATAGTTATAGAATGCAAATTGAAGCATAATTTAGATAATTAACGGTACCTTTTGAAACACATTTCTTCTTGAGAAAAATAATTAAACTGATGGTTTAATAGTTATATATTCTAGCAAGGGTTTTATATTAATACTAACGAACGTTTTGGATCTGGATAATGGAAATAGGACTAGAAGTGTCACTTTCTATCGCTAATAAGAATGTACCCTGTAAGAAAATTCTGTACCATTTTTTGTTGTTGGCAATTTGACAGAGCAAAAGTCACGTATAAGGAATTATTTTAGAGTCACTGCGCAAAATATAAAATAGGACTGTTCTATATCTCCCTTCTACTGGGCCTATAGTTGAAATTCAAATTGTTTTTCCATGTCTCGAAAGTGCGACTTAGGATATATATTAGACTTATATATACCTTTGCTCTAACATAGGTATTTTGAAACAAAATCAGACGTTTTCTGGAAAAACATACCAATTTTTTCCATATTTTGTTTCTACGACTCAAATTATGCCTAAATATTATGTTTTGTAATTTTTGGTGAAATTTCAAAAAATTATCTTGACGAATTTCTTCAGTTTGCGCCAATATTAATCCACTTGGCGAACTTCTTAATTTATAGCAACCTATTTTCCTTTCCTTTTTCTTCATTGTCCACTAGCAGGAAAAAAAGTCATCGTTCACACTTTTAAATAATTTTAACAAAGTGTGTAAACCATATTTTCATTATTATCGCTTATAATAAATACGCCAATTTCCAAACCGAGCCAAAATGTAAATCCACGTATATCTTAGAAAATTTTGAATAAAAATCTCTAACGTTTTGCAGGTATGCTTAGAAATACACCTACTTTAAGATGATGACAAAATTTTTATAGGTTATAATTGAAAATGTTTTTCGAAAAATTTATAAAAATTGTTCAAAAATACGAATTTAAAAAATAAATAAAACAGATAGGCCAGTTTTATTTGGAATAAATCGAAATTTTGAAATATGAAAGGAAGAATTAAAAATGTTTAATAAGAAAGAGATATAAATATATATGAAATTCAATTAACATTGAGGAGATAAAGTTTCGAGAACTAAGTACGATTTTGTGTCAAAATACCGATTTTGTGTATTAGAACGATGTTATACACTGACTATTAGTAAGTATTTGGACACCTATGCAAATGACGATATCTGCGAGCCTAAAGTACGTCACGGACTCCGCCGGTATATATCGTGTAGGAAACAGCATCGGCTTTAGTCGCATGCAAGATGCCTCGCAGTTCGGAGCTCTCTGATTTCGAGAAAGGTATAATTATCGAGTATCACAAATGTGGCCGATCCATAAGGGACATATCTAGCGATCTGAAGTACCCAAAATCGACAGTGGCCTATGTGATTAAGAAGTGGAAGGTGAGCGGTGATTGTCGGAATGTGCCCCGAGTCAGCAGACGAACGAAATTGGGAGATAGAGACCGACGAGTGCTGTCCAGAGAAATTCGGAAGAACCGCACCTAACCGATGGCTCTCATCCGCGAGGAGTTTCAACAGGCATCGGGGAGTATTGCTTCAATGAATACCTTCCGTAAGGAAGCACATCTGCTTGGTTTTCATGGTCGTGCTGCTGCCCATAAGCCTTTGGTCACAAAGTCTAACCGCGCTTCTCGGTTAATGTGGTGCAAAGCACATCGAAATTGGACCGTAGATCAGTGGAAACCGGTTCTTTGGAGTGACAAATCAAGGTTCACTTTTTACTGTTCGGATGGCAGGGTCTGGGTCTGGCGTCTACCTGGAGAACGTCTCCTGCCAGAATGCTTTGTGCCAACAGTCAAATTCGGCGGAGGTGGATTTATGGTCTGGGGTGTTTCTTCTGGTATGGGCTGAGACCCTTAGTCCCCATTCATGGTAGGCTCAACTCCGATGCCTACTGCACTATTTTGGATGACAGTGTGGTTCCTACGTTGTGGCAGTTTTACGGGTTGGACCCCTGTTACTTTCAGGACGACAATGCCAGTTGTCATGTTTCGATGTTAACCAAGGCTTGGTATGGTGCCAATGGAGTTCATCGAATGGACAAGCCTGCCCAGAGTCCAGACCTGAACCCTATCGAGAACCTCTGGGACGAAATGCATCGCCGAATTCAGGGGTGCACTACCCGTACAAAATCGGTGAAGGAACTTCTATGTCTTCTCCAAGCCGAGTGGAAGAAAATACCACTAGCTGTCATACAAAGATTTGTGGAAAGTATGCCCCGGAGGGTCCACGCTGTAATTACCTCTCGGGGAGGCTCTACCAACTATTGGTTTTGAATAAAGTTAGTTTGTCTTTTCTATCACAGGTGTCCAAATACTTATTGGTAGTCATTGTATATAAACCTAATACAAATCCTAAGTCATGCCTTAGAGACATGAAAAACACAAGTTGAATTTCGGCAATCGGCCCACTAGAACGGGAGATGTAGAACTTTCCCTCCCTTTTTTTTGCGCAGTGTACACTACAATCTAAAGACATCCACAATTTTGGTATTTTTTAAATATGCAATTATAAAACGACATTAAGATTTTAGATTAATTGTTTTGAGAAAGCATCGTGTTATATTCGAGTGAATATGGTGCTGACAAGAATTCTAAATATCCAGAGGCAAGTTGTGGTTCTAGAAAATCCGGTCCACGGCTGTGTTCCTAGAGTGAAAGTTGTTCAAACGTCCAGGTAAATTTGTTGTCCTTTTCTGCAGATTAAATTTACTTTTGCAATATTGCAAATAGAGAAAATTAATTTTTTATTATCTCACATTTTTTCCACTTAGATTATACAGTTAAAACAAAGATTTTTATTTTTATAAAATAAAATGTAGTGCATATAATTTAGATAACAATGAAACAATATGAAATGGTTTTTTTATTCATTAAACCCTCATTTTTTCTCTGTGGCTGCTGTTTATTATTCTACGAAGTAGATGAAACTGGAATGAGGATATTGCAATACTTTCACCTTTAAAATAATAGAAACTCTAGCGGAGATCTTCCCGCAGCAATACAACCTTGTCAGTTTTATAATTTTTTAAATCAACTGAAATTTTTTTCATTATAAACAGCTAAAAATTGTATAATTCTTAAATTTGTTAAAAAATAAAAAGGCTCAGATTAATTAACAGCAAACTTAATTTTATTTACCACTGAAAGAGAAACAAGGAACCCGAATAACTAGATGGTTGGAGTTCTATTACAATATGAGTGTAATTAAAGTTCGCTGTGCAAGGCATTCTGTATCAATAACGGTTGAGTGGATTCATACTAAAATTTGGGTACTTACGTATTAGCACAACCACTATGATTTCTGGTGAAATCACCAAGTCTGGTAATTTTTTACAGAAGAAAACAATTTTGACTGATATTATCGTTCCTGATATAGTTATTTAATCGTGCCTATATACTGTTTCGGGGCCTATTTGTATTTGCTTAACGGAACCATTTTTTTTAATTAGAAAACGTATTTAGAGTTCTTGCTATAATCCGAATAGAAACGTAGGGAAGATGAGTCAGAGAGTCTATTTCTACTTTGAACCAGTTAAATATCTATCCGGGCAGTAACTCCGAGCAGTGTTCGCAGAGACATCGTGCCAAATATTTCGTGTTTTTCATGCCGAGATGGAGTGCTAATCTAACTATGGCTTTTTTAATGCATATGCATCTCGTGAAGTATTAATTACTACCTGAATGTTACGACCATAGTTTACTAATACCTAAATATCCGAAAAGTCCGAAGGGGCAATTTGCCGAGAAGGAGTATTAATTTCGTTTTGGCATTTTGCGTCGATTTACTATAAACATTGATTTACTTTTCGAATTGTTGCCACCAAGTATTACCATTCTGTGTTGTATTAAAAGAAATTAAATTATGAAAAATCTGCATAAATGTATGTATGTTTCTCGCATTGTAATAAAATAACGGTACCTAGAGCCATCAAATTTTGAATAACGTAATCTTCCATCGAATATGGGCACCCGGAAGCACTAATTAGGAATTTGAAATTAATTTTATTATAGATTTCGTATTTTGCAATACTTTAACAAATTTTTGATCAACAAACTCAACAATTTCAAAGTGAGCAATGGCAAACCTGTACGGGAAAAAAAAAATCCAGATTGTGAGTTCGAATCCAGCTAAGTTGTTTTCTGATTTTTTCCATTAAAAATAAATCTGTAATTAACATAGTTCTCCTAATATAAAATTTATTGTAATTTTTACATGCAACATATAATAATTTTACGTTGTTTTATTATCATACATAAAAATGTTATTATATTTAAATTATTTCATTATTATATAGAAAAATATTTATATAAAACTTGATATAAATAATAAACTATTTAAATAATAATTTTAAATTAATTATGTAAACATAATTATTATATTTTTATGTTATTTATAAAATATTTAAGTTTGTTTTTCCTCTTTTTCATAGAGATACTTTATTATGAATCTGATTATCAGCAATTTATGTTGCATTTTACACTATTTATGCAGCGATCAATTTATTTCCTCTTTTACGGTAAAATAACTTATATATATCGAGAATATAAAGAAAACAGGATGTCTTAGGAAATGTGAAGAGTGTAATTTAGATAATTTTATTTATTTTTATTGGATTTCCATTTTTTAAATTTGGGGGATATTTAAGGACAGATAGATATATAGATAGATTTGAATATACATTATTTCATTAGGGGATTTTTACATTATTCATTACTATTATAAAAATTTCATATAAATTAACTATTTAAATAATAATTTTAAATTAATTGTATAAACGTAAGTATTAGATTTTATATTATTTATAAAATATTTAAACCTGTTTTTCCTTTTTTGCGTTAAAGTGATACTTTATTATGTAATATGTATGCGCTTGTTATAATGTAGTGTGCATACACATTACATTTCACAATTAATTGCTTTCTTTTCCCGTTGCATTAACTTATTTACACACAATAAATACATTTAACAATTAATTAATTTTCCTTTCACGTTTCAAAAACTTATAAGGTATTTCTCCCGCCTTCGTAGCGTGCCTTCGTGGTGTAGTGGTTCTGCGCACTGGGCCGGTATTTCAGAGGTCCGTGGTTCGATTACCGGCGAGGGGGTAGATAATTTTTCATCTGTCCGCCTCCCCCACAAAAAAATCCTAATGTCTCTACAGTGGCGCCCGAACTAAAAGGGTGTTGGGTGATGATTCTCCTCATCCAGGTTTTGGCGATTGGGTCCCCTAAAAACCCCAGTCGCCCTTTAAAAGGGGGAATATATAAGGTAGTTCTTCCGCCTTCCTAGCGTGCCTTCGTGGTGTACAGGTTCTGAACACTCAGCCGGTATTCCAGAAGTCCGTGGTTCGATTCCCGGCGAAGGCGTTGCTAATTTTCCCTCTCTCCGCCTCCAAAAAAATTCCTAATGTCTCTACAAACTTATTTATTTAAAATTTAATTTTTTCATGTAGTTTTCTTCTTTTGCATTTTTAATCTATGTTAATTTCTGTCTGTTATTAAACTTTCTGTTTATTATTACTAATATATTATTCAATTTATTTAAAACTCTGCAAATAAAAGACATTGAAAACTTTGCAAGTTTTTATGAGATCGATGGAGGCTTCGTATTGGATACTAATCATGTCATCTGCTTTGATTGTCCCAACAACTTAGATACGAAATGCTACGAGGCAACATCACTGCGAAGGAGACTTTTCCGGAGATATGTCGCCTTGTATATAGACGGAATGAAAATTCCAAGAATGAAAATTCCTTTAGTTGTGTTTTAAAAGTAAAACTTAATTTAATTCTAAATTCGCTATTTTCGTATTTTGCGTTCTTTCATTTTAATGTTTATTTTAACTGTTATTGTGCTTAGGATTTTATATACACTTGTGTGCAAAAATTAAGGACGAGACGGTTTTTTCAATATAACTTTGTACAAAAGCTTTCCAAATCAACACATTTAATGCCGTAAGATCCCCAATACGTAAGGACATGAGTAATGTAAGCAACACTTACTAAAAGAGAAATCAGAGGGATAAAAAGAAGCTTTATTGAAAATGTAGCATGGAGCGCAATGCGACTGAAGGCCGAAACATCCCTGTGATGGGTGTCCAGCAAGAAACATCCGGTCTTTAATAGGGGATATGATCTCCCCTGACTGCTAGGCAGGTTTCACAGCGTCTGCCTATGCTGAGAATGAGGGTGTCAATGAGTTGTTGAGGCATTGCTGCCCATTCGTCTTGCAGCGCCAATCGAAGCTCCAGAGCTGTTCGGCAGCTACTGTGCGATGACATGGTGCATTGTCGTCCATGAAAAGGAACTGCGGACCCATAGAGCCTCTAAAAAGACGCACATATGGAAGAAGAATCTCGTTACAATAACGGGTCCCGTTGACTGAACCTGCGTCGAAGATGTGAAGGTCTGTACGACTACCAAGCATGATGCCTCCCCAAACGAGAACACCGCCACTCCATACCTGTCACTTTCAATGATGTTCGAAGGATGATTGCGGCTTTCCCGCTCTCTCCAGATGAGTATGCGATAAAAATCGCTACTCAGACTGAATCTGCTCCCATCTGTAAAGAGTACTCGTCCCCATTCATTGTCTCTCCAATTCCGGTGTTTCCGGCACCACAGAGAACGCCTTCTCCGATGGGCAGGCGTTAGAGGTACACACCGTACAGGGCGTCGTGCAAACAGACCATCACCGTGCAGTCTTCTGGCCACGGTAAAACGCGATATCGGTCGTCCAGTCGCCTGTGTCGTGTGTCTAGCGATTTCTCCCGCTGTCTGCCGCCTGTTTTCTTCTGGCCTGTAAGGCAATATACCGGTCATCTGCGGGTTGTGGTTCCTCGTGGACGACCACTACTAAACCCCCGGATAGCTGTTCCTGTAGTTTGAAATTGTCTCCAAAGTCGTGAAACGATACTGTGAGCAATTCCGAACTCTGCAGCCACACTTGTCACACTGCGGCCTTCGTCCAACTTCCCAATGATTCGACCTCGGGTAAAAGCATCCAGATGTCGTCTAACAGTTTGAGTATTCGCCATTTCTCGCTGAGGCAGCAACTCGGTGTGATTTTAACTGCTATATACGGCGTGCAATCTCTTTGCCAGAAATACTGGTCTTACACCGACAACATGCTTTATACTACTCAAACACTCCCCCATTACGTCTACCTGCATATCTGCACATGTGCTACCGTACATCACCTTACTTAATCTCCTGATTGGTCTTTCTGTCCGCTCTGCCTCTTCGTTCAGCTGTTATGCTAATTTTTCGACTTCGTCCTTAATTTTTGCACACCAGTGTAGATACAGATGTGGGTCATTCGTAGGTGTATTACGTACTTGCAGTAACGAAGGCGATGTTTAAAAAGTTTATTTTTTAAATACCGATCCTTGACATGCGCTTCGGAATGTCAAGTTTTCTAAAAATAAAACGCAAACATTTTTTATGAAAAAGAGAGATATGTGAGAGCGTTTAAAGAATTATTTTTAATATTACTTGCATAGACAAAAATTCAAAAACTTAATTCTATAAAACGAATAATTTTAGTAATTTAAAACAAAAAATGTTCCATATTTTTTATGCTTAATTATGAAGGATTTTCAGGAAGGAATTTACTGAATTAAGCCTATTGTTGAACTAGTATTAAATACTTTTAGAGCATATATAGAGAGAAAATAAACAGAAATTAGCTATTTGAGGAGTGATTTTTCTATCTTCATAGAATTTATTCATTAAATTTCATTATGCTTTCTAAATTAAATTTGATTACTCTTTTTCCTTCATTAAATGTTTCTACTGCCTATATGAAAATATTTAAAAGAAAATGCCTGCAATTGTTCCTAATTTCACATAAACTAAACTCTTGAAATAATCTACGAATAATTTACAATTGCTTTTCATTACATATATCGATGTGGTAAAATAGATATATGATTTTTGGAGGAAATGTGTAAGTAAAAAATTTATTTTAAAATTTCTTTAAATTTTTAAAATTTATTTAAAAAAAGAGCAGGCATAAAATCTTTCATAAAAAATTATACTTCTAAAAATTCGGCCATTTAGTTTTTCTACTTTGCAAGATATTGCCCTACAGTTTCTCGTAACATCTAATTATTTTATGTGTAATTTACTACTATCAATAAATTACAATTACGGAAATACTTCACACGGAATAAATTACAACCATAGAAGTGAAGTAAAATTTGTAAAGTATTTGTTAGAAAAAGAATGATATTCTGCAAAGATAAACATTTCGAAATAAAAGACATTTTTCTCCTCTTTCCAACCCCTTTTGATCGAGTTTGAAGCAATTACTCTCAGGTTAACTTCCAACAATGAAAGTAACCCTAATTTCTACAAGTTCCTAACAACTAATCTATTTTTATTTCTCGGGATCGATGAAGTGCCATTAAGTTCTCTAGTATCACGTAGTACAAGAAACCTTAATGGTCTTTTTCCATTACTCCGGACGGCAAAATCCTGTTTTATTTTCTTATTTTGAGAATTTCTCACCTTAGAGCGTTGATGAGATGAACCGGGAGGTAACAGAGTCCAAAGATGACCACTACCGCAATCAACATCTTAGCAGCTTTCCTTCGTGACTGTATTTGACCTTCGCAGCTTGGATTGACGGTGATCAATCGGACTGTAGCTCCATTCCGACCATTTTGCTTCGACACGGCTGAAACCAACAAGACAGTATAAAAACATTTGCATTAGAACGTATATATACTCACTAGGTAGGAAAATTAAATTCTGAGACCGCTTTATTGCCTGACTATCAAATTTAAGGAAAAAAGAAATGTCCTGCATTCGACTTTTTACAGTAGTATTTCGTAAACAAGGATACGAAAATCTTACAAGTAAAATCAAATTGCAAGTGAATGAAAAGAAACAAAAATTGAATGACTGAGAGTTTAACGTCGCACTAGAGAGTTTGTTAAGGTGTCATGCGAGTTTAATTGTGTATACGTTTCGTTTAGAGAATAAAATTTATTATTTACATTATTCCTTAATATATTTCAGTATGTTAAGTACCTTTAACTACAAGATAAATGAAGCAAAAGAAAAAGTTTTAGCAATAGAGATATTGCTCTCACTCGCTTTTGTAATATTACTGAGCTAGTTTTATTCGGAAACTAACTCCAGGCAAACAAGCAGTTTATATACGAATATTCTTCGTTTTAAACTTGATCTCTTCTTTGCATAGGGCACCCGAATTAAAGGAGTGGAGAATAATTTGTGATTACTTTGAAATAGTCAACTGGAGTTCATTTAGTAATTCAGAAGTCAAACAACAAAAATCAGCGTTATATTTTCAAATTTTCACATTTCATTTCAGAAATTATGTTTTAGTTCTGATTTCATCAACAGATGGCGCGACTAGCTTATTTCTGTCCAAGCTTTCTTAGCTTATCTAATCATTATATCCTATCCCGTTTATTTGCGCTTTTGAAGCTGAGGATGGTGGTTCGGTAAAACCATCGAAACTAGTCCTGTGAAAATTTGAAAATATAACGCTGATTTTTGTTGTTTAACTTCTGAATTAGTATTTGTTCGGCGTGTTATTGTGACTTAATTATTGGAGTTCATTTGTTCTTCCTTCAGTCGCCCTTATTTCAGGAGAATTATTAACTTGTTTAATAATTTTTTTTCGAGCTTAGTATTTAGTTACTTACTGTGCCTGCCAATTTTTGTGCAATATATTTATAAGTGCTGGGCTGAATCTTGTATGTATAAACTTCAATAATAACTGTAATGTATAGTATTCTATTTATGTGATCTTCGCGCTAAATTCCGATTCCTTCAGCGGGTTCCTCAGTATCTTTTTCAAAGCAGTGCAGTATCACTCTCCTATTGTTCTAGCCGAGAATATCTGCTTATATAACCCCTCACATTTTGCTTTTAAGGGTTCCAGAGGGGGGTTCACCTGCACGTCCGACTATACGCTCAGCGGTCTCAGTTGCCGCTAGTTCTGTTAAATTGTACATTAAGCAACACACAAAAGAAACAACAAAAATTAATTCAAAGGAAGCACAAAAGTATCTGGAAGAGACGATTTCTCATGAGGTTGTCACGTCGCGAATTACAGAGGTGCACGCGCGAATTACAAAGGTCTGGCCTTATAGAGAATATCGGTGAGCATATTCAGAAAACCAGAAACAAAAAGCTCAGCGCAGCAGACAATTCAATATTAGAGGATTACTTAGCAGATATTAGACTTCTACTTCTAGAACAAGATGCTATTATTGCAAAACAGGAAGGCATCATCGAAGAATACCGCAGAACGTTAATCTATAAAGAGGATCAGAGACCTGTGCCCACTTTGCCCACAAGTGGAGTATCACAGTGCTCTGACAAGGTTGCAGCGAATGTCCTTTTAGCCGTTAATGTCCAAGCAGAAGAGGCACCTTTCACACTAGTGCAACGTAGGAAACGTAATACCAAAGTAACCCTTCAAAAGAAGCTTTCAGATCACGTCTTGCTTTTCAAAGCAAAGAACGAAGGAAGAGCTCCTGAGCTAATTCGCACGCAAATAGCAACAAGGCTACGTCGAGAGAAGTTGGGTATTATTGAGGACCAAATTCGGCCCACGCGCTCTAAGGAACTTTTAGTCAGGTGCCGAGAGCGCAGACTTTTCCAGCGCCTTAAGCAAGCCTTCGAAGAAAATTAGTCTGACGGATTCGCTTATTATCCGTGAGCCTTCACAGAAACGAAAGACGATTATAATTTTCAACGTTCCCGCAGACCTTCAAGCAGAAAGTATAAAGTCAGCTCTTGAGGCTTAAGTCCAACATCAGCAGCATGAAAGATTTTCCCCCGCATAGCACTTCCTAGAGAGAATAATACTAACAAGTGGCTTGTGGTTATTGCACCTGAGATCTTGGAGGATGTACTTTCTGAAGAAAAAGTATTCTTCGGATTCAGCTCCTGCCCTCTCAGACCATGTTATAGAGTTATTCGCTGTCATAACTGCCAAGAGTTTGTCCACTTCAGAAACAACTGTACCAACATTCAAGTTTCTGAACGCTGTGGAGGCGGCCACTCGCCGAAAGAATGCACCGAGGAGGAACATTTACACAACTGTGAAAAGGCCACCTGACGGCCTACCTAACGGCCTACCTAACTGCACATAAAGCCAGCTCTGGAACTTGCTACGCATACAAGACAGAAATCAGGCAAATGGCCATTACGAAAGAATAAACATTCGCCGTCAGTACCCTAACCTACTCTTTTACTAGTGTAACCTACAGTGCTCAAGAGCGGCTACGGCTAACATGATACAAAGCAAGCTGGAACAAGAAGCAGACTTCGTACTCCTGCAAGAGCCATACACTGCTTATGGTAAGATCCCTGGTGTTCCATCATCCATCTGGGCTTACTGTTCAGAAAATTCACTCGCATCCAGTATTTACAATGGTCCTCTCACTCCTCTTCTCCACAGTCGCACAGAACATACCTTGACAGTAATACTGGAGACTCAGAATACTAAAATCATGCTGACCTGCGTTTACTTTCCTCCTAGGAAAATATTGATGCGCTCCTAAGTGAGTTAGACCAAGGACGTCTCTTCACGTCCACCTTCAACATCGTGACAGGGGATTTTGACGCGACTAGCCCTCTGTGGGGTGCAAATCGAGAAGAACAGGCATGCGATAGAGATACAGGAATATACGGCATCAAATAAGCTAGTGGTTGTTAACACTCAAGACTCGGCATCAACCTTCTGAACAACCCGTGCTCAAGGTTGGCCAGACCTGACCCTGGCTGATCCTCACACTAGCCGCTACATTCAAGACTGGAGTGTTACAGATACCACCACCCTTAGTGACCATAGACTCATTAGATTCAGTCTGGGCACCTCACTTAAGTACTTTATAAAACGCAGATACAAGACCGTGTACGGAGGGCATACTAAATTAATTAAAGAACTTGGACCACAAGTTTCTCGTAAGTATGCTCCAGAACTGCACTGTTTGTGAATCTTTGGATGAAGCTTACAATAAAGTAATTGAAGCAATTACAACAACATGTGTAGCAACTTACAGACTAAAAATCATACGCGCTACTACAAGCATCCATTGGTGGACTACAGATCTGACCACAGAGCGTAGCAGAGTCCGGGCACTGCGACGACGAGACCAGGTTACGACGGAGCAGCAGCTGCGTGAAATAAGAATGTAGCATTACAAGAAACACCTGACACTTTATAAGCGCAGTTTTCTTAATGCCAAGCATGCATCATGGTCGAAATACTGTATAAATACTACTAAACTGTTTGGTACTGCCTTCAAAATTGTAACTGATCGGGTGTTTTTGCCCTAACGGTCTCACAATGGATCTCAAGCTCACAGCAAGTTCCACGACAGAAGTAGTCAGCATGTACCTGATTCCATTTTTCAAGATGAAGATTACTTGCCGAACGAAGATTACTCTGAGAGACAGAGAGAAGTCAGGTCTCAATTTGAGGTGAAGGACTGAAGTAATATATTTGGCATCGAATGTTCACCGACTGAATCACAGCTAACAAGAATCATTAATGCCCTGGCTCCAAAGAAAGCTCCAGGTCCAGATGGTGTGGAATACATGATTATCAAGGTTCTGCACAAAAAAATTCCCAGAGCTCATAAAAGCCCTGGTGAAAGCCTGCTGGAAACTTAAACACTTTCCGAAGGGTAGTAAAACTGCAAAAGTGACCTTGTTTCTGAAAAATGAAAAAGATCCGAATGTCTCAACCTCCCATTGTCCAGTCGGTTTTCTTCTTGCATTCAGCAAAGTCTTCGAGAGAGTGATTCTGACTACACTTAATTATTATCTAGCTTTACGTTAAGTCATACACAAACAGCAATGTGGCTTTAGGCCCGGCAAGTCAACTGAGCATGCTCTCCAGTATCTTATAACGACTTTAGAAGACAGGATATGCACAGAATAATCATAGCCCTTGATATAAAGGATGCTTTTGACAAAAGTAGTAGTAGTAGTTAAGGAGGATTTATAGAAACGGATAGTATCTTCCGTGAGTTCTTATGCCGTATTCGTAAAGGCAGTATTTTCTATTGTTTCTTACTCGCAGTGTTCTTCGCAACATACTTTAATCAATAGCAAAACAAATACTGTACCTCCCTTTCCTATATTAGATACTTCATGCATTTGGATAAATCCAAAATCCAAATACAACTAAAGAAGCATTATAAATCCCAAGGTAAAAAGTTTTACTGAAGTCTTAATGTAATGTTTCTGAGGAAGAAATCAATTTCTTTTCCGAATGTAGTTATTATTGAAAAAATTCATTAAATTATTGAAATTAAAAAATTGAAATTATTGAAAAAATTCAGTTCCTACCCATTATTTTTATAAATATATTTTCATTTAAAATGTCTCATTTCACTTTATTAATGCATTTAATAACACCAGTTTAACATTATGAAGTAAATTCGCCCTCAAGGGAAAAAGTTCCTTTTCGAAATTTGTTGAAACTCATTTTTATCATAGTGCAGGGATGGACAAACGTTTTTTACTAGGAGATCATATTTCAGAAAGGCATGAGTTCGGCGGACATTATGAGACGGCGGGAATAATAATAAAAATAAATGTTAAATAAATAAATACATATATAATAATAATAATAAATTGTTGACACACAATAATCAGGTGAAATGAAATTATTTTCTTAGTATCAGT